AAGACAAAGCCCTCAAGTGAGGGTAGAAAGGGAAAAGAACAATAACAACTCAAATACATGAAATAGATCAAAATAAATAGGCACAATCGTAGCCGTAGATTTTTGATGTCCTCATCACCTTTTCTCTTATTTATTTTTGAAATTGTTGCATCATTGCTGATTGAAAATCCTCATTCTTTCCCAGGTGGAAGAGAAAGGGCTGGCTGTTGCGACGGCTGAGAAAGTTGGCACATTTGTGAAGAAACGAGGGCCACCGCTTGAAATACTTTCCGAACTGAAGGGCAATGGTAGCTCATTTTTGGGTAACAGGGGTTCTGTCCTTGCATTAAATGAGCTTGAAATTCTCTTTAATGCTCTTGAAAAATCAAAATGTTTAGAAAAAATAGTTTTTGATCTGAGCCTTGCAAGAGGGCTTGATTATTACACTGGGGCAATATTTGAAGCGGTTTTTAAAGGTTCTACACAGGTAAAAATTTGTTCTATACCTTACTCAATTCTGTGGGCACTAGTTAAGGTTCTTCATATCATGGCCATTATATTTTGAATATATATATTTTTAGGTTGGCTCCATAGCTGCTGGGGGGCGATATGATAATCTTGTGGGAATGTTCAGTGGAAAACAGGTCCCTGCAGTGGGCGTTAGCCTTGGAATTGAAAGAGTCTTCACAATAATGGAGCAACTTGAAAAGGAGAAGAACTAGGTACTGTATTTTTGTTTCTCTTGTATTTGTTTTAGCATGTTGATCAGTCAAAACCTCAGTATGATTTTGAAGGATGTAATTAAGCTCCTATCTTTTGATCAAAACACTCTTGGCACTTTTGTACTTGAGATCTTCATCTAGATTCCATGATTGTGAGAAAAAAAAAATCACGAATGGATTACTGCAATTAATAGTGTTAAATTACCCAAACAATGTCGTAGAAACATATTATTTATTTCTTATTATTGAAAAGTTTTGTGCTCTTAATCGGACACAATGGAGAAAAAGGATTCATGTACCCGACCCCACGTAGTGGGATAAAGACTTGATGATGTTGTTGTTGTATTGAAAAGTTTTGTCCTCCAATCTATCGCATCATCATGGAATAGTGTCGGGTATTATGACTAGGCGTTTTGATAAGCTGAATTCATTTTAAATGCATAAAAATGTATTTTTGTTATCTAAGTACATATATTCACATTTATGTGTTAAGCCGATCACTAGCAAGGTGTGCATAAATATCGCATAAATATGAACATGTCATTTGAAAGTTTGGTCCCCTATGTTCCACCTATACTCATTTTTCACTCATGCACATATCTCAAAGCATAGAAGCGCCTCATACAAGTCTTGATGCTCTAAACTATTTATGGGTGCCTTTCTTGACATGGCAGTTAAGTTCGACACACTCTGCTCACCGTCTTCATGTGGCTATTTGATGTGTTGATGCAATTTTTTATTTTTTGAGACTTCACCAAAACAACTCATCACATTGGCAAGGACTTGAATGTTTCTTTGATGAAAAATGATATAATCGAAATGGTTAATAGACTAAAGAGGATTACCAACATAATATATATAGCTACCTGGTATCTAAAACAAAATCCATCAGCACCGGATCACACAAGTGAAGGTTTGAGTTGAGTAGGGCTGAGCTTGAATCTTCTCACATAGTTATAATCATATATAATGATAGAAATCAATGATGATGCAGAACTTTTAGATCTTTACCTATCATTTGGACAATTAACCTCATCATCTTATTTAGACACTCATTTCCATTATAAATTTGTCAAAAATAGAGTACATAAAACCTTGAAGTTTATTAAGAAAGTTTTTTGCTTGAATACTGGGCATTTTAAGCGCTCAAAGTTTACATGAATTCATATTTGATTAGATCAATAATAATAATAATAATAATACTTTTTAAGAGTAAAATTTTTATGGACGTAAAAAAGTATTGTCCAATGAATAAAGGACTACAATTGCAATTGTTGGTTACATCAAGGGATCCACCAACTAAAAGAAAAATCAAGCAGCATAACTGCCATAGATACTCTCTAATTTAACATCAGATGGTGATGTTTATGGAAGTAGAATAAGTTGATTCCAACAATAAGCTAACCAAAGGGTCAAACCTTAGATGTCGGTGGTGAACCATCGTGAGACGCGAACATCAAATAATGAAACAGTAAGTACAATAAATGACATTGTTCAAAACTCATTGAAATGTGGTAATTTTTCATTCGTCAGATTTCTGTAGAACTGCTCTAATTGGCTATGTTGATATTTTAATTTTTGCGTTGCACTTTAATTTACTTTAAGTATGAGATCATTTGTATGGATTTTGGACTCATCAACATAAAATGCAGTTCCTTACACAAAAGAATGTTGCTCGTCTTCTAAATCTATTTTGCACTCATATTGGTCTTATCAATTCTAGTGATGATTTGTATGGATTTTGGATCAGCCAAGGATTTACGATAGGACTATTGATCCTATCATCTCCCAATATTGTTTTTCACATACAACTCACATACAACGTACGTTTTCAAAAATGTCAAGCGGATCAATTTATCCAATATTCATCCTGAATAACTTAAAACTGTGGGCGAGTTTTCCATGTTAATGTTAAAGTTTTACTTTAAGAATAAAGAAAGCAGGTTTAGAATTTCTTTTAAAGTTTATTCATTCACGAAATAAGTTTTCCCTGACTATTACTGTGTGATATAACTTCATAATTGATTCATTTGAATGATCTGATTTTCTTCAACTGGACTCATTGTGCATCCCATTAGATTTGTTTCCACACCTACTCATTTCCAGAGAAGATACAGCTAGGTCCAATGGCAGCCTCACCTTCATATTGATGCCAATAATATTTGAGCTATTAATAAAACTATAAAAGATCATGTGGGTGGAGACCGTCTGGGTGATTCTCAATTTCTTGTCATCTTGTTTATAAACTTCTCTGATTCAATTACAGAACTTAAATCTTCTCGTACTAAGTACGGCTTGGAGAGCACTTTTCCATGTTATAAAAATTGCTTGCTTTAGTCGCTTACACTGTTACGATGGCCTTTTTTTGAAACTTGTGCATTAAAAATAGTCTAGTTTCTCAATTTTTTTTTCTATGTGCATTTTGTCCTCTGTCATGCTTGATGAGGCTGACTATTCAAGCTTTGATGACGTGTTTTAGGTGACTGAATAGTCAAAACTAAATATCAAGGGCTATCAGCACGATGAAAATGATCTGGAGTCACAAGTAATAATATCAAGTTACATTGTCGAGATAATGGTGGAGATGCCAAGTATATAGCCACAACCACAAATGAAGTGTTGGTGTGCTATTTTATCATAAAAACGATCAAGAAAAAAAAACCAAAGATGTGCTGAGATGAGGAAACACATGGAATGTATTGATTTATTGTGAAAGGTCTAAGAAGGAGAGATGGTAGGCATATTAACTTAGGTTTGTCGAGTGACTTAACTAATCTACAGCAACAGAAAATGCAATTCCTTACACAAAAGAATTGATGGATTTACAATTAAGAAGTTTGAATCGACCAATTAGATCCCAAAAAACTAATCTAAAATAGATAGATATGCGGCTAAGGCAGTCACTGAAATTAATGACTGAACTACTACATTCTTTATAATTAGTGGGTGTCAACTAGTCCAATTTGTAAGGATTATGAATGTTTTCGCCAACTTGGGTTCAAACTTTGCCTGCACCATAATAAATTCATTACGCGGACTTTGAGTTGAGTGAAAGAAAGTCTCTATATTCCTTGTTACTTGCACTAGATTCCAAAATTGAAACATTTTATAAGCCCTAGTCATGACAAGGCTCATTGGAGTTCAAGGAGACGCACATACCCCAATTCCTCTTGTGATGCTTTTTGATTCATGGGGACTTTTCCTCCTCACCCAAGAATTTGGCAGGCATGATGGATGCTCTTTAAGGTAGTGTTGTCCTTTGCCTTTAGATCAAATACTATTGAAGTGGGTTTCTAGGTATGAGGAATGGTGTTGTGGGTGCAAGTTCATTGAATCTCGAGAAGATTCGTCATAACATCAATCCCCCTTGTTATGTTTTTCTTATGCGTGGATTCTCGTACTCCTCATTCGGGTACTCCGGTGCAGGATGGAGGCTCCCCATATTAGTGCTTATTGACTTGAAGTGAAGTACCTTTCGAGGCAAGGCCTGAGAGTTCTCCCTTGAATTATATAAAAAAAGTATTCTTATTATTTTGAAAGAGACGTGATTAAATGATATCCATCTTTAAAAGCCTTGATTAAATGAGCGACATTTTTAAGATACGATTGAAGGCTTATAGAAACCAAAGCAATTAATTGAGCGTCGAGTGAAAACTTAGGAGCTAATTGCAGCATAATTTTATAATTTTAAATATTAGGTCTTTAATCAATAATCTTGAATTAACATTGAGGCTGGCCAGTTCGATTTATTGAACTGGGAATCACTCACATATCAATCAAATTTAACTATAAATCCGGCCACCATTACTTCGTGCTAAGGAGAAGAACCTTGGAATTGATGAAAATCTAAGTCTGTATCACGTGCCATTGATAATTTCCTTTGAAGTTGAACTGTCCATTCTCATTGTGCCATCGATTTAGTTAATACAACAGGATTTTCTATTTTGTTTGATTGTGACAAAATTGTCTGTTCTTTGTTGTGATTTTCTTTCTAAAAGTAGTACCCCTAACCCAAAAAATTATGTTATGTCATTTACATTTTTATTCTCGCTGAACTAGCCTTCTATTTTGCTTTATTTTGTTCCTTGGAAGATATGTCAATCAAAATTTGATAGAATGAATTGTACACCATGGCGCCATTACAACAGGATTTTACATTTTGTTTGATTTATAAGAGTCATATATTAGTTGTATCTGTGTATGAAATCTATGACTCTTATAAAAAATTGAATCACAGTTTGCAATACATTTTGCATTCAATATCTATATATAATCATAAACCTGATCCTATAGCAAAGTAACCCTTATGATATTCTTCATTCCTTTTCTTGTATGGTAATCAGTTGCAATGACCTTTTCTTGTACGGCACAATGAATATTCTTTTCATGATTTTTTACAATGATTTTTATTCATAGAAATGACTATGAGTCTAAATGCCTGTTCTTATATTTATTTTTATCATTTAGATCAAATGATGGAGCTATAATTATACAATAGATTTTATTATTAGTTTCTAGAAATAAATATCTATCGAGTTATAAAACTGTCCTTGGAAACTTTTGTACCGACTTACCAGTGTTAGAAATTGCAGCTACATGATATCAAGTTTATATGATGCTGGAATTTTCAACTGTAATAATGCAAGTCAAAAAAGAGAATTCCGGATTATTATTGTAGATATGGAAGAATGCTAATTATCTGTATTTTTTCCCTTAGTATAATTAGTTTTTAGGTTGTTGTACGTCTATGATGTTATGCAAAAAGAGGGACATTCTATCATAGCATGAGGTTCAATTTTTTGCCTAATACTGCACAGGACTTCATATTTAATGCTTTAATGTAATATAGATGTATGATATTTACTAGTTGTTATGCCTTTGGTCAAGAGTTTAATACACAACTTTGGTCAAGAGTGTAATACGCAGCTGAAGAACCATGATTACAAAATACTAAGCCCAGATTATGGTTTGATTAGAAAGAAAAGAGGAAGACTATGTTG